AGTAACATACAATTGAATGAACAGAGGTACATATAATATTCATAAAATAATACAGTCATCTTCCCGGGGAGGCCACAGCACCAGAGAAATCTCCCCTCCTATTCCTATCCCACAATTACTAGCTATGCTACACCCTAGCAATTTGGTGGCAGAGAATTTCATGGGGGATGATCAGAGCTCAGTTCACTCTGTGCCACTCTCCTCACCCCCCTCTGGCACCCTTCCTCCCTGTCTCTCTCCTTTTCATGATCTTTAATCTGACCCACCCCCCTCCTGCCTCTCCCTGTAACTGGATCTCAGCCTGGCAAGGGCACTGGAGAGCCAGCCACATGATACTGTGGGGCTAATGGCAAGAACAGCTGGTGTCCTTAGGAATCCACTGAGTAAGACAGTTCTGGGCAAAGCAGATCCTGCTGCTTGCGGGGGAGGGGGGTGTCTGCTCCTCCCTCTTCTCTTTAATCCTTCCCCTGGCGCATATGGGGCAAGTTTCCCGGGGAAGCTGGGGGATCTGCCCCCCTTTTAGGAGATTAGCAATCTGTCTAGAAGATATGCTGTAAATCAGATTGTAAGAGAAGATCTAGGACCTGTGTTAGGAGGAGGGGGGGGGAGGTCAAGCGAGATGGCCTATTCTGGCCTAGGAGTCTGTGATTCCCCCTACTCATTACCTTGCTTCATGGGCCACAGGGAGACCAGAATTACCAGCATGCTTATACCACTCACGGCTCTGTGTTATGGCACTGACTGGCCCAGCCTCATTCTTCAGGGTTATACTTAGAGGCATTTTCAGCAGATGCCACCATTACACACTCTTCAGTAAGCAAGCAAGTTTTGACTCTTAGGAAGACGTACTGGGTGGTTGGTTGTTTTGGGTTCTGCAATGTTCTGGTAGGCAGTGATCCTGGGGGTGAGGGAGCTGCCTGAGAGGTGGGAAAGTTTGCTGTCTGCCTTGGGCTTTAACTAGAGTCAGTTTCTGGAGGCAGAGTTGATCCTTGTGAACCAGGCACTGGGGTAGGGCTGAGCCACATGGAAGCACGGATTGTCCTGTGTGCTGTTTGACCACCTCTGTTTCAGGACTCGTGTATGTAAATAAAGTGAGTTACCTTAGACTCTATCCATACTTCACATCACTGATTTCTCTTCTGCTGGGAAGATGATCTGCAAGGTCTCAGAGGTCAGCTGCCCCTAGCAAAAGAGCTATGCTGGTGCCAGGACTAGGTCACTGATGTCAGAAGGGGCAGAGATACCGTACAAAACAGTGTAGTCCTTTAGAGGAGGATTTGTGGCTGGGACAGAGCAGGATATGTTAGGGTTGGAGCTAGCATGAGCACTGACTGGTAAGAGAGAGCATCCAGTGCTGAGCCTCCACCCTGCTCCCCACAGCACAGTGTGTATGTCCCCCCCACACACATACACTGGGGCATTGGGGTCAGCACAGACTTCTGGGGACAGCGCCTCCTAGCACCATGCTGGTTCAGCAGAAGGGGAAAAAATGAGATGGGATCCACCACCCCTAGCCAGATCTCAGTCTCCTCTGCCTCTCATCACACGGGGTTAGGGAGGCTCTGTGTCCCACAGCTCCAAAGCCTTGGTCCTGTCATTAGGAGTGTCACCAAAAACCTGCTCATGAAACCTGCTCTGCACTGGGCTGGGCGCTGCAGGATGCTGTTGAAACAGGGATGCAAGACCATGCTGGGCTCTGGATGTGCAGCCTCCTCTCCCTATGGGCCACCTCTGCCCAGTGCTAGAGCCAATGCCCTTCTTGCCCCTTTGGGCCACTGCTCTGCAGGGGAAGGAGGTACGTTTAAGGTGTTGGGCATTCCCCAAAGCTGGGCATGGGGTGGCTCCCTGCTTCTGTCGCCATCCTGCTAGCATGTGAGGGGTGGTCTTAAAGCAGCAGGCTCCCCCACATCCTTCCCCAGCTGCGGGGCAGGACTCCAAATGACATGGTCTAGGTAGCCTGCCCTTAACACCCACCATACCTGGTGGCAGGTGCAGGGGGATCCAGGCTCGGGGGGGGGGGAGGGGGGAAGAGCCCCAGGGCAGCAGTGATGCAGGGAAGGATTAGGTGAGTTTGGCTTTCCTGCCCCCCCCCCCCCCCCCCACACACACACACACTTCCATCCTGCTTGCGGGGGCTCCCCAGAGTTGAACCAATGGTGTTGCAGGCCCCATGCCCAGGGGGATGCCTCTGGGAAGTGAAGAGCATCCTGGGGAACCTAGCAATGCCTGGGTATGGAGGTGAAGCTGGCATGACCTGGGGTTCTGCCAACGACTGGTGAAGGCCAATGGGATGTGGATGGTGCTGCTTGCTGGCCTCCTGGCTGGGGAGCAAACGGAAGTGTGAGGATTGGGTGCCACGCAGGCACTGGGGAGACGGGCATCAGAGCTGACAGCAGCCCCCCATGCAGAGATCTGTGCCAGGGCCCCTGCTTGGCAAGGTCTTGAGAGATGAGCCCAGTTCTCCACTGCAGAGCTTTGCACTGTCCTCTGACCCATCCTGCATCAGAGCCAGATTACTGGGCTGGATGGGTCCACGGGTCTGATCTCGGGTTGTGGGGGGCAGATATACAGGGCTGGCTGGGCCCATGGGTCTGATCTGGGGCAGTAATTTCTTCACTCCAAACTGGTCAGAACCCCAGCATTTTAGGCAGCTGAGTCTGAATCCCAGGGCCCTGGCTCAGGCCCCTCTAGGCAATAGCTGGGGAGGGGGCTGGATGGGCTGATGCTCTCTTAGTCCCACATGCTGTTTGTCCCTGAAATGCCAGAATCTTGGCCTCAGAAAAGGGCAAGTCTGGGGGCAGGGAAGGGGCCTGCGAGGGATCCCAAAGCACAAAGTGACTTGCTCATTGTTCAGAATGGAGCTGGGGCACCCCAGGCTGCCCTCCATTTTAGAGTGGGCTCCAAGAGGTTTGCTGAGCTGGGAGAGGAGGCCCAGGAGGTGGATGGGCACTATGGGCTCTGTCTATCTGCAGCAGCTGCTGGAAAAGGTAGGGCCACAGAGGCCAGGAAGGTGACCCCTTAGCAGAGCTGGCCTGGAGAAGCCATCATCATCTTCTCTGCTGCGGCTCCTCCAGTTGAGACCCAGGAGGGGGAGACTCTGGGGTGGAGGGAGCTGGGGCCCAGGTAGCCCCAGGGCAATGGTGCTGTGGCTGAGTTGCTGGGACGGACCCTGCAGACAGGAGGGGCACAGGGAGACAGCTGACGATGCCTCATTTCTCTGCCACTGGCTCCCTCCATGTCCTGCTCTTCCTTGGCTGCTGGATCTTCTTCCAACCCTGCTGCAGCTCAGGGTGCCAATAATGCCTCAGGGACCTGCATATTTGCACATGGCATTTTATTGGGGAGGGACTACTTTGTCCGTCTGCTGCCGGTTACAGAGGCGGCAGAAGGACACAGAGGTGGGGAGTGTCACGAGGAACTCCAGCCAATGCTGACAGGGGGATGGGCTTGCTAATGCCCCTGTCCTTGGGTACCCTGGCATGGGATGCCATGGCTACAAGCACCATGGTAATGTCACTTCCCATCTCCCACCCACCTCCCTCTTCCCTGGTTCAGGGCCTCTGCCCCTTTAAGACATCACAATTTCCAGATGCTCCTCCCCTCATTGATGATGTCATCATCCCCAATGACCTCACAATCTCTTGCTGTGACATCAATAACACCAGTCATGAGGAAGCAGCAGGAATCCATGGGCTCTTAAAGAGGATGAGAACCTGACCAAGCTTCCTTTAGACCTGAGTCTTGCTTCCTTCTACTTCTGCTAATTTGTTACTGTAAGGTCACGGGGGCTGCACACACTGGTTTGTTATTACGGAAGTCTCTCTGGGTGCCATGCGCTGGTTTGTTATTGGAGAGTCACTCACGAACACTAGGGCTATGCACGCTGGTATGTTAATATTGTAGGGTCTCTCAAGGTGCTGCACGCTGGTTTGCTTCTATAGGATAATTTAAGGATGCTAGGATCTGTGCTTTCTGGTTTGATATTATTGTAGGGTCACTTAGGGATGCCAGGGCTGTGCATGCTGGTTTGTTGTTATTGAAGGGTCACTCGGGCTGCTGTGCACTGGTTTGTTATTGTAGGATCACTTGGGGACACTAAGACTATGTGCAATGGTTTGTTATTATTGTAGGGTCTCTCAGGGCATTGGTTTGCTTATTATAGGGTCACTTATGGATGCTAAGGGCTATGCACACTGGTTCGTTATTGTAGGGGCACTCCGAGGCACTGGGGCTCCACACGCTGGTTTGTTATTGTAGGGGCACTGGGGCTCCACACGCTGGTTTGTTATTGTAGGGGCACTCAGAAGCACTGGGGCTCCACGCGCTGGTTTGTTATTGTAGGGGCACTCAGAAGCACTGGGGCTCCAGCGCTGGTTTGTTATTGTGGGTCACTGGGGCGCTGGTTTGTTATTGTAGGGGCACTGGGGCTCCACACGCTGGTTTGTTATTGTAGGGGCACTCAGAAGCACTGGGGCTCCACGCGCTGGTTTGTTATTGTAGGGGCACTCAGAAGCACTGGGGCTCCACGCGCTGGTTTGTTATTGTAGGGGCACTCAGAAGCACTGGGGCTCCACGCGCTGGTTTGTTATTGTAGGGGCACTCAGAAGCACTGGGGCTCCACGCGCTGGTTTGTTATTGTAGGGGCACTCAGAAGCACTGGGGCTGTGCATCCACAGCCCTCAAAACTGCTGGAGGGTTGTGCCTGCTTTGTTAGTGTAAGTTTTTTGTCCTTCCCTGGGACCAGGCATGCTAGTTAGTTAGCACAGGGCTGCTCTGGAGCCCTGTTTTTGCTCGTTAGCATGGCTAGGGTTCCCGCATCAGTGCAGGCTGTTCAAGCGCTGGGGCTGCAGGCTCAAGCGGGTCAGTTCAATGTCTCAGGTTCAGTGGGTTTGTAGGTTTCCTAGTGAGAAGTTTGTATAGGGCATGTGTTATCGCAGGGTCTGTGCTAGGACTTGGCCCACAATTGTTTGTTATTGTAGGGTTGCTGACAAGCATGGGAGGGACTGCATGCGGTGGTTTGTTGTTATCTGGTAGGTTGCTGACGAGCACGTGAGCGGGTTGCATAGGGTGGTTTGCTATCAGTAGGGTTGAGCACCGGAGGGGTTGTGTACTGTGGTTTGTTATTGTAGGGTTGCTGAGGAGGTAGCATACAGTGATTTGCTAAGGTAGGGTGGCTGAGGAGCAGAGTGGTGGGGGGTAGGGAACATGTGTACAGTGGTTTGTTAGTGGAGGGCCACTTGTAGCCTTAAGTCTCCACTCCTGGAGGCTCCAGTCCCTCAATCCTTCCCCTCCTCCCCACCATGGGTGAACAGATGCCAGAGCTGAGCTCGTGCCCAGGAGATTAGGGTCCGCGACCTACAGCCCTTCCCAGGGCTGGTGGGCTTGGTAGCGGGAGCCAACTGGAGGATCTCAGTGGGGAAGAAGGGGTTAGGGAAGAGTCTGCAGAGAGGGTGGGGGATCCCTCCAGGGATAGGACAGTTCAGCTGAGGGAGGAGAACTAGAGGATCAGGACAGGGCAGCTGGGGGGAGGGTGGGGGAGCTGGAGGAGCCCCAGAGGGAGCAGAACAGACGCCATACTGATGCAATCCCATGTCACGCACACATTGGTAAGAGCCACGCCTGCCTGAGACGACACTAGGGACCCCCAGCTCCCTCCTGGGGGGAAAGGGGCAGCTGCTGGGAAAAAACAACAACACTGGGATACAGAGGAGCCACGTAATGCAAGCGCCAGTGCCCCAGCTGGTGGGAATACACCAGGAAGGATGAGGCCGGGGGCTCCTCCAGGACCGGATTTGAGCCCAGCAGGCCCTAGGGAGAATGGGGGGAACAGGACAGAAGCAGCAGGGTGGCCCCCTCCCCGGGGGCTCCCTGGGTGCTATTTGAAGTGAGAGAGGAAGTGGGTGACAGGATAGTGGGGTGAGTCGATGCCCAGCACCTGGCAGACACCCAGCACCTTGAGGCAAGCCTCGCGGCGGCTGGGGCTGGCACAGGCCACGTTGCAGTAGGGCTCTTCATATTCACGGGTGACCAGCTCATCCTCCAGCAGGTTGAGGCGGATGATGCCGCGCTCGTGCAGGGCCTGCAATGTCTCCACACTGGCTGTGGACTTGAGGGCCTTCAGGTGCTGTGACACCACGCACATGACGCCCACCAGGTGGGTGCGGGGCTGGGCATGGGTGGGCAGCAGCGGGGGCACCCCACAGGCAACCATGACAGAGGCGAGCATGATGTCCACCCCGTAGATCTCCTGGATCCAGTCGCGCAGGTAGAAGCCTCCCATGCGGGGGTTGATCTCAATGAGCTTGGGCCCAGCTGCCGTCAACTTTAGCTCCACGTTGAAAACGCCATTGGTCAGGCCGCAGCCCAAGCAGCACCGGTAGGCGGCGCGCACCAGCTGGGCCTCGCAGTCGGGCGCCAGGCAGGTGGGCATGCTGGCTGCTGTCTCGGTGAAGTGGGGCACACGGGTGGGCCCGTTGTCGGAGACGAAGGCGGCCAGCATGCGCCCATCATAAATCACAATATCCACGTCGTGCTCTGTGCCGGAGACATACTCCATCAGCAGCATGGCATTGCCCCAGCCCAGCCCGATGCCTGGGTGATCCGTATCCTCCCGCAAGTCCCGTGAGATCTTCTCAAAGTGCAGGTGGCATTGCTGCACATTCTCTACCAGCTTGACCCCCACGGCACCCGCCCCATACTCTAGCTTCATGACACCGGGGAAGGAGAGATGGCGGGCAGCCCGCTCCACGTCAGCGTGGCTCTCCAGGTGGCAGCAGGGAACGGCATAGAGCGCCTCTGAGGCCCAGCCAAGTGGGGCTTCCTTGCGCCGGCGCAGCAGGTGTTGGTGGGTGCGGCTCTTCTGCTTGGCCACCCGCATGGCTGCCACCGGGCTGCAGCGCAGGCCCAGCTGCTCACACACGAGGGCCGTCAGCACCATGCAGTCGTCCCAGTAGGAGAGGCAGCCGTCCAGGTGCAGGCCCCGCTCCCGCACCAGCCCCACCAGCCGCTGGGCATGCTCCTCATCCCGCCTGTGCTCCGTGGTGTCGTAGTGGATGAAGGTCTGCACCAGCTGCGAGGCAAAGTGGTTGGGGTCTGACTCCACCAGGTGAATCTGGAGCGGGGGGTGGGGGGCACAGAGAAGGGGGGCGGGGGAGAGATGCAGAGAAGTGGGAGAGAGACCAAAAAGGGGTCACTAAGGACTGGGGCAGGCTCCATGCCCTCCCCGCCAGGCGCCGCAAAAATGGGACTGTCCTTGGGGACGGATCCACACCCCACGGTGGGATGCAAATAGGGCGTTCCACTCATATCCAGAACCCCGGTGTGGGAGAGATGGAATTGTCCACGTGCGTCCAGACCCCATGTGGGGCAGGAGATGGAGGAAAGGTCCAAGCATTTCTATGAAGGGAGATGGGATGGGTCCATGTGTGCCCATGCCCCCGAGGGGTGTGGGAAGGAGATGGAATAGTCTATGTGCATCCAGGGAGGGAGATGGAATAGTTCACTCACACCCATGGCCCCATGAAGTGGGGAGAAGAAACAGAACGGTCCATTCACAACCAGGCCCCATGGGGTAGGGGGAAGAAACTGAATGGTCTACTCACACCCAGGTTCCATATGGTAGAGGGGAGGAAATGGACCAGTTCACTCCTGCCCAGGCACCATTCAGTGCGGGGAGGGGGAGAAGATGGAATAGTCCACTTACACCCAGGATGAGTGGGGGGATATGGAATGGCCCATTTGTGTCAGGATGGAATGATCCACTCGTGCCCAGGAGGGGTGGGGTAGACTGGGAATGGTCCACTTATGCCCAGGCCCCATGGGGTGGGGAGGAGGAGACGGTGTGGTCACGGGCCTCATGTGCCCGCCCCCATGGGGCATTCCTGGACCCCAAGGCAAGAGGAGATGGGATGTTCCATCCAGGTTGAGGGGGCGAGTGCATCTGCATGCTAAACGCTTTCCAAGAACAAACCCGGCATGGTTGCGTCCAGTTTTGTGCAGGGGCTTTGGGAAGGGACCAGCCGCCAGAGGGGCGGGGCCAGCACTGACACAAAAGGGCACCCCAACCTGCCTGGGCTGAGTGCCACCCTGGACACAGAGGACCAAATCCCAGCCTGGAACCAACCTGGAGCTGCTGCCAAGAAAGTGGGGCTGGGGGAGTACACAGGAGTGCTCACAGCCTAGGAAACTGCACTCAGCATCAGTGGCAGGGCTGTGCCATGGGATTCCTTTCTCACACCTCTGAGCAGAGTCAATTTGCTTGGGATTTGGGGGGGAGGGGTGTTCCTGAGAGAGCAGTTAGCTGGCCTCATGAGATCTAACTCCAGGAGCTAACAATGTCAAGGCTGGCAGGTGTTAACTCCAGAGCCTAATGCTTGTGGAAAATTTAAAGACAGCAGCACTATTAACTATTCCACTGCTGATCAATTTTCCAGGAACGTTCTGCTATTCCAGAGCTGTGGGCAGAATTGCCCACCTTTTCCCCCCCTCCACTGGGGCTGGAGATGGGCCAGACCACTTGCTCCTGTCTCCCACAGTGGTGTGACATTGGGCTGGGATACAGACCGTTCCATTACCCAGATTGCAGCAACCATCACAGACTGTATTTGCCTCAATTCAGTGTCTGGGCTGGGACCTGGTTCTCCTCTGTCTGGGGTCAAGCACTCATCTCCCCTTCCCCACACCACTCCTGCCCCTTCTCTAGTATTCCTTCGCCAGCTGACGTTCAAGCCCACGTCCCCATGTGCCCAGACGGCCTCAAAGCAGAGGCATGAGAGGGCACGGTGAAGGGAAGGGAGAGCAAGAGCTGTAGGCTACATGAATGGTCCCAGTGATTTAGAACGGAGAGGTTCGGGGGCGGAGGAGATGAGACACCCATGGCTCAGTGACCTGAGGCTGTGGGCCGGACTGGCAATGGATGGACAGCCAGGGGTCAGAGTTAAGGTGATTTTCTCATCCAGAGATCTTATGGGGCTCCCTGGTGTGCCCCTTGATGCATTACCACCCCCTCAGCAAAGAGAGGTCTGAGCTGTAGCCCTAGGGGATAGATCTGGAGTAGCTACCTGCACAAAGGTAACCATGGTTAACACTGGCTTATGTCCCTTCCAGGAGCTGCCCAGCTGCCAGGACTTTTGATTCTGCACACAATGGACACGGGAAGCTCAGCACCCCATAGATCCTGCCCCCAATCACTCCCCACATTGCCCCAGTGCCAGACCTCCAGCACCCACCCTGACAAGGGTCAGCACAGACGGGACAATAATCCCCAGCTCACCCTCGGAGAAGCACTTTCCCATCCACCTGTGACCTGGGCTGCGGCAGCCCCCTAGCAAAGGCTCAGGTGCGGTTTCTGTCCAGCTGGGATACAGGAGGGAGCCCCTTTGTGGCTGGGATGTGGGGAAGACTCAGGGGAGTCTCCCTAGAGCTGGGATATCAGAGAGGGCTGGCTGGGATACAGGGGAGGAAATGAGGAGCACTCCCATGGCTGGGATGTGGGGGAGGGGCAGAGAGGACTCCCCCTGCAGCTGGGGGTGGAGGGTGCATCCCCAACCTCCTCCGTTCGCTCTCTCTTCCCTGATGCAGGTTATGCCATGTTGGGTCGGACCCATGGCTAAGGACAGCCATCTCCCTCAGCTCCACTCCATGGCGGAGGGTGGGGGCTGTGCTGGGCAGCGTGGGGCCCGGTTTCCGCATCTTACTTTTAGCCCGTAGGCCCTGGCCGCCTCCCAGACGAACTTTTTGCTGACTCCTCCTGCCCCGATAACCAACACGTGCTTGCCCTCCATGAGGTGGCACTGCGCACGCCGCAACATCGTCTCCACCAGAGGGCGCGAGGACTCGCCTGCCGGCACCCCCACCGCCTGACTCATGGACTCGAAGAGCCCGCAGGTCTCCAGGCAGAGCTGAGAATTCATCTCCAGGGCCATCAGCTGCAGCACCTGCTCTGACGAGGTCAGGAGAAAATCCACACCTGCAATGGGAAATGGCCAAGTCAAGGGAACAGCCAGGATGGGTGTGCAATAGCAGTCAGGCCAAACTGGAGAGCACAAGAATTCAAAGGTTTCAGAGGAACAGCCGTGTTAGTCTGTATTCGCAAAAAGAAAAGGAGTACTTGTGGCACCTTAGAGACTAACCAATTTATTTGAGCATGAGCTTGCTCATGCTCAAATAAATTGGTTAGTCTCTAAGGTGCCACAAGTACTCCTTTTCTTTTCAAGAATTCAAAGACCCTGACCAGAGGCCCCCACAGGAATTGCAGGAGATGCTGAATCAAGCAAATTCATAGATTCCAAGGTCAAAAGGGATCCCTGTGATCATCTAGTCTGACCTCTGGTACAGCACAGGCCACAGAGCTTCCCTGAGCTAATTCCGGTTTAGAATGAGAGCAGATCTTTCACAGAAGCATCCAATCTTGATTTAAAAATTGCCAGCGGTGGAGAATCCACCACAGCCCTGGTTAGGGTGCCTTCTGGCCTTAAACGCTATGAAAATAAAAGGGGTAGAGAAGGCAGGCCAGGAAATCTCTCCTTTCCCCCTCTCTCATTATACAGGCAAAGATTGATGAACCTGAAAGGTGGCAAATTCATAACTGATCCAAGGAAAATACTCATTCTCAGTTGCCCTGTGGGACTCATTGCCACAAGGTCTCAGTGTGTCCAAAAGCTTAACAGGCAGGGCCGTCGTTACCCATATGCAAAGCACGAAGCTGCGTAGGGCACCAGGAAATTTGGGGCACCAAATCTCCTGGTGACCTGCGCAGCCCATGCTGCTCCAGCCTCTGCTTGAGCTCTTCCGCAGGCCCCTGCCCCTGCTCTGCCTTCCCCCACTTCCCCTGGGCCCCTGCCCCTTCTGTGCCCCAGCCCCCCCACACCAGCACTCACCGATGGTGTGGCTGAGGCTGGGTCGTTGTACTCCCGCTGCTGGTAACTCACCGGCTGCGGGAGTGCAGCGACCTGGCCTCAGCCACGCCACCGGTGAGTGCTGGGGGGTGGTTCCCCCCTACCTCCCAAGCCAGCCCTGCCCCCGTGGGGGGGGGAGACCATGTAGAGCCCCAGAATTGCTAGGGACAGCCCTGCTAACAGGATTTGTAGAAAGAGGCCTGGACATTTACCCGGCTGAGGAGACCATCCAGAGTTATGTTAAAAGGAAAATTTTAAAGTCTAACTCCTTAGAAAGTTTCACGGGGTGGGTTATTCCAGAACAACCCCCTAGGACAGGGGTTCTCAACCCTTTTTCTTTCTGAGGCTCCCCTCCCAATACTATAAAAACTCCACGGCCCAGCTGTGCCACAACAACTGTTTTTCTGCATATAAAAGCCAGGGTCGGCGTTAGGGGGTAGCAAGCAGGGCAATTGTCTGGGGCCCCACACCACAGAGGCCACTGTGAAGCTAAGTTGCTCAGGCTTTGGCTTCAGCCCTGGGTGGTGGGGCACCAGTCCCATGCAGCTGGACTTCAGCTTTCTGCCCCGGGCCCGAATGAGTCTAATGCTGGTCATGCTTGGTGAACCCCCTGAAATCTGTTCACAGCCCCCTAGTTGAGAACCACTGCCCTAAGAGGCTCCTTCTCCGGCTGCTTCATGGCAAGGTGCATGGGTATTGTTGGAGATGGGATACCAGGCTAGATGGGCCCCTGCTCTGGACATGCATGTGTGGCTACAGGCCTTTCTGAAGGTCCCAGCTGGTCAGTGACTCCCTGCCCGTGAAGTTGCTATCCTCCCCTCGTCCTGCCAAGGGCAGCAGCGCCCTGACCCTTTAACAGACCATGGGCCAAAGAACTAGGGCCAGGTCCCTACCCCAGCCAGGCACTTCATGCTGGGGCAGCTGAGGGCAACTTTGGCCTGCAAGGGGGAGGCTCTCTGCTGGGGCTGAGCCAACACAGCCAACTTTGCCCTACACCGCCCATTAAGGGGTGCACTGGGAGGGAGCACCTGCTCTGGATCCTCCCTGGCCGGATGAATAATGATCAAGACTCTGTGACTCCCCCTAAATAGTTAATGGCAACGATTGACAGGGCAGCTCACCAATCACATCAGTCTGGGCCCGTCGGCCCCCCCGCTGCTCCACCGACAGCCCCGCCTCCAGCTCCAGGAAAGCTGACATGGCTGCCTCAGCCTTGTGCTTGACCTGGGCACGGATGGCCGCGAGCTGGGCCTCATCTGTCACCCCCTGCTGCCGCAGGCTGCTCTCCAGGCTCTGGGGCACTGTGGCCTGGTGTTTCAGGGGCTTATCAGCCCGTCCCACACCGCACACCACCTGGGGGGGGGACAAAACCAGCGCCATGAAAACCCCGCATCTCCCCCCCCGCCACCACATGCAGTGGGAGCTGACTGTGAGGTCATCCAGAGAACAAGCTTGGTACTAACCAATCAGATCCTTCGCATGTCTCACGGTTCCAAGAGCCCTGATTTGTGGAAGCTCTTTTCTCCTGCTCAGGAAATGGAATGTACCATGTGCGAGGGTGGGCAGAGGGGGAACATGAGAGAAAATAAACCCAGCCCAGTCCAGTGCCACACGCTGCAGACAGGACAAAGGTGAGCTTATCACCTTTGACCTCCACCTGGCCTGGGTTCAAAGGTCACAAGTGACGATGATAAGATTTTTCATTTTGAGACTTTTGCAGATCATATTAAATTCATGACTAACTTGGTCCAAAAAACAATGTAAGGTTCCATATAACTTTACCCATTGCCCTGAGCCAGCCAGTCACCCACATGGGCCAGATCGGAGTCAGCACCTCTTAGAGAGGAAAGGCTCCATGCCCCATTCCCTGGCTTCTGAGCCAGGCATGCCCCCCATCCTTGGACCAGATTGGAGATGGTGCCCCCTAGAGGTGAAAAGTACCATCTCCCATTCCTCACCCTTCCCAGCTAGCCAGTCCCACCCCCTTGGCCTGGATCAGAGCCAGCACCCCCTAGAGGGGAAAGGCCCCATACCACATTTGCTTACACCCGGGGCTGCCTCTGTATTTGTCTCTGGTCAGGGCATGAGTGATCCCCAGCTTCTCACCGTATCAATCATTGCCCTATTCCGAGGCTAAGTGGGGGCATGGGGCCCAGCCAGCTGCATTGGCAGGGCGGGGTGAGGGGCACGTATTCACGGCTGCCCCGTTACCTGGCTCAGCAGAGGCTGGTCACCCCAGGATCTGCAGACGACAGTGCAGATCCGGATCGCCAGGTCAGGCCTCGGAGATGTGCTGCCTGGGAGGGGCAAGGTGATGAGGAAGGGTCAGAGGGGCAGGAAAGGAAAGAGGGAGTCAGGGGAGAAAAAGACAGAGGGAAATGGGAGAGAGAGAGATGGAGAAAGAAATCGGGGGATGAAGAGAGGGGAGAAAAAAGAGATGAGGGTGGAGAAAACAAAGGGAAGGTATGGAGGGGACAGAAGAGAAACAAATGAAGGGTGCAGGAATGGAGCGGGGCGGAAGGAGACAGAAAGAAGCAGCAAGGGGGGCAGAGAAAGAAATGGCATCGGGATTCATGCAAATCAGCTGCACAGAGTGGTGCCCTCCGTCCTGAGGGATTCTGGGATTCTGGTAGGGCCACCACCCACTGAATGTATGGCAGCTGTCCCCCACTGCCCCAGGGGATACTGGGATTCCAATATGACAGTGGCTCCCCCTGCCCTGGGGCAATATGGCAGTGGCAGCCACCCCAATGAGTTGGGGGCACTGTTCCCTCTAAGCTGTGCGCGTGTGCACGCGCACACAGATCCTAAACCCCGTGCACTCGGTAAAACACCACGCACACAACAATTTGCACAGAAGCACAACAATTTGCACAGAAGAAATTTTTTGCACACACAGCCTGTCAAAAATTAGAGAGAACATTGGCTGGGGGATTCCCAATATGGCACGTGCCCCTTCCCTCCTCATGTCCCAGGCTAACTCAACTGCATCCTGTTTTTTTCCCTCCAGATCTTGCCCCATGACGCCATCTCCAAAGGCTGGGCCAGGGTGGGAATGGGGGTGGGCTCAGTGCATCATGGTGGCTGCAGGGGCAGGTGATGAGGCGTGAGCCTCTCTGGCCAGGGGGGTCCCTTACTTGGGGATGTGCGGTTGGGGGATTTGGGCTGGGTGAGGCAGGCGGTGGGGATGAAGGCCTCCAGCAGGGCGCTCTCCTCCTCCTCCAGGGTTTCCAGCAGTGCCAGCACGGCTTGGAGCACGGCAGCCTGCTCCACCTTGGCATGGAAGGTCACAGCATGGGCCCCACTCCAGCGCCAGCCCGATGGCTTCACCACCACCTGCAGGGGGCGACAGCACACTGCTCAGTGGAGCCAACCAGGCACAGCCACTGCCCCCATCCCTACCCATAGGGTTTCCCTCTCTCCCTTCCCCATGGATCTCCCCCTCTTACAGTGCCCCCTTCCTCAGCTGTAGGGCCCCCCATAGACCTCCCCTTCTGGCTGTGGGTCCCACCTCCCCACAGGCTCACGTGACTGTAGGGCTTCCCCCGACTCCTGGCTGTATGCTCCACTCCCAGCAAGCTCACCTGACTGCAGCCCCCTCCCACCCCACAGGCTCACCTGACTGCAGGGCCCTGCCCCCGGCCCCGGCAGGCTCACCTGGCTGTAGGGCTCCATGGCGTTGCCCTTCAGGAAGGCCTCAATCTCCTCCTGGATGAGGTTCTCCTGGCCCTCCTTGCCACTGAGCTCCACCATGCGGACGGCGTGCTCAGCAGTGACGTCCCGCAGTGGGCGCAGCCGCTTGAAGGTGAAGGCCAGCGTGGGTGGCACCCCCACCTGGGCCCGCTGGTCCAGCAGCTGGCGCGTCAGCAGCTTGTCCTCCAGAAGGCGGGCCAGCTCCCCCGAGCCCGCCGTGGGGCAATCCAGGTCACGCGCCAGCTCCCCCGCTGACTGCCCATGCTCCTTGCATGGCCCGAAGGAGCCCATGAAGTAGGTGACGCGGCGCGGGGGCGAGAACTCGTCCAGGCACGTGCGCCCACCCAGCTCGAAGGAGACAGCCTTGGAGACCAGCAGGGACGACTCGCCAGGGTGCTGCTCAGAGGGCACCTTGGCCAGCCAGCTGGGCGACAGGCACAGCAGCATGTTACCTGGGGGGGGGCGGGGGAGATGTGGAAAGATAGGGAAGGGCAAGGAAATACAGAGAAATGGGGAATAGAGAAATAGAGAGATGGGGAAGGGGGAGGTCCGTGGTGAAGGAGGGGGGAAAGCAAGGAGGAGGGGGCAGAGAGGATGACAATCTGTTACCATTACATCACCAGCAGCCAATCAGAAAGCTGCTATTTATACAGCAATTAACAGACTTTCCTCTACTGGGATTTCGTCTCCTCTCCCTACACCTCACAAGGTAGGAAGGTGCCAGCCTATTTTGTACTTAGGAACTCAGTAGGGGGCACTCTCCCCATGCACTCACTGCTGCCCCAATGCCCCAGCACTGCATTATGAGGTACTATGCTGCAGGTAGCAGGGCAGGGTGCTCAATAGGGGGTGCTCTGCCTTTGCAGTCTATGCCCCCAATGCCACAGTGCAGAACTAGAGGGGGCTATGCTGTAGAGAGTGGAGGACATTCTCCCCTTGTACTCAGCATTAACCCCTACTAGAGGGCACTGTACTCCTGGTGCTGGTGTCACCTTAAATAAGAGACACAAACCAAGATCTTTAACCACTTGTGGCGTTCCAACATGCCGGAGGAGTCAAACTCCCTTCATTGCATTCTAGGCTTCCCCTGCGGCTCTTGTCCTGCTGTAGAGTGACTCAACAGCTGCCACACCCCAGAGGTGGCTGCACTGCAGGGCCAGGAGAGGGACCCCCTGGACGGCGTTTGTCAAGCTGCTGGATTCTCCCCGAGGAAGGACCTTGGAGCTCTCCTTATCAATGACTGATGGGGCTGAGCTGCCTTGGAGCTCTCCTTATCAATGACTGATGGGGCTGAGCTGCCATTGTATTTTCCCGCAGAGCTCCCACCCAGCTCCCACCCAGGGCTCCGGCTTCCTGCCAAGAGTAAGCAGCTTTAACAAAGGCAGGAATCATTCCAGGGCCAAAGGGAAACTTAAGCTGCTTGGCTACAGTTCCCAGCACCCAGCGAGGGAGACCGGGCAGGCAAATGCCAGGAATGTGGAACAACTGCTGGAAGCCCTCCACTTAGGCCCGGGCTGGAGTCCTTCAGCCCAGGGACCTTGCTAGGATAAGGTTACAGCTGAGAGGAGAGGCCAGGATAGCCCCAAGTACACTGCCAGAGCCAGTCAGGGGCATAACAATCCTCAGCCTGCACGGAGAGCTAGGGACTGCCACACTACGGTTACGCTTCCTCCTGCTCCCCCATTCCCCTCTGCTCCAATCCACCCGACGCCAGCTCCTCCCCCAGACTCAGCCCCCACATATCAGCCCTTCCCCCTCCCCATACACCAGCCCTTCTCCATCCACCCCACATACAGGGCGGCTTCTCCCTCACCCCCCACATACCAGCCCCTCCCCCTCCCTCTGTCTGATCTGTCCCCACCACACATACACACCAGCCTCTCCTCCTACCTACCTCCCATATTAAGCCCTCCCCTATTCACCCCCACACAAAGACTACTCCCTATCTACCCTTATCCACCCCCTGCCCATATCCACTCCCCCTTTACTCCTATTCATTACCCCCCCACCACTCTGGCCGATATAGCCCCTAGCCCCCTCTGATCCTAGATACCCTCCAGTTCCTCTGACCACCTCTCCCCCTATGCTGCCCTTGCCCTGCTCCTCCCCCCTTTGATTCCAATCAGTTTCCTCCCACCCCTTTACTGGGGAGAGGGGTCATTGAGAGCGCAGGAGAGAGAGTCAGTTCTGGTGCCTGGCACCACCACAGCCAGGAGCAGCAATGGCTGGGAAAGTCCTGCTCAGTTCCTGGCATCCCCGGGCTGGAGCATGCCCAGTCGTTCTGTGGGGCTGGCACACGTGCAGCCTGGCCTGATCTCGGAGTGGACGGGATGGGGATGCTCAGTGAGGACAGAGTCCTCAGAGGATTTAGCTGCCCAAATCCTTCCCGAGCACATGCACACTCCGATTTTTCAAAGGCTGATAACTTGGCCAAATTTGGTTGCCTTCCCACAGGGCCAGCAAAAGGCAAGTCCCTGACACCAGGGCGACCTGCCCCTCCCTGCCCCCCCCCCCAATTTCTAGTCCTAGCTCCAGGGCCATCCATAGACATTTTGGTGTCCTACGCAAGCACCCCCAAGTGTGGGGGGAGGCATCCCCAGGCCTCTGCGGGGGGGGGGGCAGGAGCAGGCTTGGGGGGCAGAGGGGAAACTGCCCCCCAGCACGAGCAAGAGCAGCAGAGCGGGTTGGGGCCTAGTCGTTTCATTTCCTGCCGCCCGGTGAGTGCAGGGCAGGTCCGACCCCATACTCACGGGGTGGCGGGAAGTGGAGTGACCCGGCTCCAGCCCACTCCACTCTGTTCCCCTGGCTCCCAGCCTTGGGACTTGGGAGCAGGGGGGAACCGGCCCCCAGCACTCACCGATGGCATGGCTGGGAGCCAGCAAAGCAGAGTGGGCTGGGGCCGGGTCACTCCACTTCCCGCTGCCCGGTGAGCGCAGGGCACCCGACTCCTTCTGCAGTCCCCGGGGATGTAGCTTAGGGGAAGGGGTGGAGTGGGGACGGAGCAGGAGAGGCGGGGGCTTTGGGGAAGGGGTGAAGTGGGGGCAGGGGCTGGGACCAAGCAGGGGCAGGAAGAAGCGGCGCTGGGGCGGAGCAGGGGCGGGGATCATGGGGAAGAGGCGGAGCAGGGGTGGGGGCAGCTTTCCTGGGTGGCTCAGCCGGGGAATCGGGCTGGCTGCTGGAGCAGCACGCAGCTGCGTAAGGCACCAGGAAATTTGGGGCAATTGCCCCAAATTTCCTGGTGCCCTACACAGCTGCGTACTTTGCGTATGGGTAAGGACGGCCCTGCCTAGCTCCAAAGCTGGGGGTGGGGGGCTAGAACATTTCAGAAAAACGGCAGGAAGAATTTTTTTTCACAACTTGTTTCCCCCTCCCAGAAACAGCTAAACCATTTGGGCTAAAATTTCCTCCCAAAAAAACAGCCTGAAGCAGACACCCAGCATGGGAAAGTTCTGCCCCAACAGTTAAAGCTGGGCAAAGTTAGAAGCAACTGAAAACAGGGTCTTAGAATGGAAAGTATCAGGCAAACTTTATAGGCAAGCGCTACCTGCTCCCAGGCCCTTGGCTGGGTCTTACGTAGATGGGCTGTCCCAACTCAGACCTGATCCAACCATGTCACTGTCTGCAGCGCCCCCAGGGCTAGGAACCCTCTTCACCAGCCAGATCACTGGGCCCTGCTTGTGGGGAGGGGGGGAATCAGGAAGTGAGGCAACCAAGGTGGGGGAGGAGCCGCCTGAGCAGCCAGTGGAACTATTTTCTCAGGCAGATTAACGTGTATCTCTGAGGGCTGTGGATGCACCCCTGGAACAGGTCCTTGCTGACTCAGAAATGCCATTTAAATAGAGAGATCCTGGTATTCAGCGCTCCTCCTTTGCATCCTCTCTGGGCCTGCACAGTCTATAAGCTCCACAGGGGCAGGCAGGGGAGCTGGAGTCAGGATTCCCCCCTAGGAGGGGATAAACTCTCCTCAAAGCTCGCACGGTTTGCAAATTGCAGTTAAGGGACAGAGCATCTATTTGCATACCTCTCCTGTATATATTTCCCTAAAACCCCACCCCTCGCAAACAGTGTGTCTATGACTTTTTTCTGAACTGATTTTTACACCCTAATCTGTGTGCATGTACATGCACATACTGGTTTATATGTCCAGTTATAAAAGGTAATATATATTTTTCCTTTAGCATTTATCCCAAGTGCACTGCCCCGGACACATTGCTGCTTATTTCTGCTGCCACCTAACACTTAAAAGTAGAACTGGACAAACTGTTTCGGCTGCAAATTTTTTCACCCAAAATTGCAGATTTAGGTCAACATTTTGCAGATGTGTAAAATTCACCTAATTGTTCTGGTCAAAAATCCTCCCTCCCCTGCTCAAAATTCCAAAACAATCAAAATGTTTTGATTTTTTTTTTTTATTAAATCACTTTTTGTTCAGAAATGCACTTTGATTTTCTTAGCTCAGCAGTTTGAGCATTGGCCTGCTAAACCCAAGGTTGTGAGTTCAATCCTTGAGGGGGCCATTTAGGGATCTGGGCCAAAAATTGGGGATTGGTCCTGCTTTGAGCAGGGGGTTGGACTAGATGACCTCCTGAGGTCCCTTCCAACCCTGAGATTCTATGATTTGGCCCCAAACTAAATTTTTTATATATTAGTTTATTGAATGTTTCAGATTTTTTTTCCATATCAGCCAGCGAATGGAAAAATTTGTTATTCACAGAGCTCTGTTGAAGAGCCTTTGTTTCCTTTCATAAACCAAACAATAAATAAGGAAATTTCTAGATTAAAAAATGTTGCTAACCCAGAATTTGGATGGTAAATAGATCCAGTTGATTTAAACGGTGTTATTAGAACATCGTAGTTCAAATTTCTTTTTAAGTTGGGAAGTCAGGAAATTGGAAGGGTCAAGGAACATATTAAAAAGTCAATTCATAAATGTCTTGGTTACTGTTCACCTGTCCCTATACCTTGACTCTACTCCCAATGTAGATTGGGGGTTAGCAGGCAGGTATAAGGGGCAGAGTTAGGCTCAGGGGATGGTGGTCAGGATGTGATACTAGAATCTGGGCTGAATTCTGACTGTACCCCATAGTCTTCACAGAGATTGTTATGGTATGGGTAGGGCACAACAAAGATGTGTTTTACGCAAGATGGGTCATGTGAAATATCATTGGAAATGTTATGACATACTGCATATGATTATCCTATTTGTATGCAAGTATCATTTTTGTATCTAAAGTTAGGAATATTGATTATATATCTGTTCTACAAAAGCGTTTACACCTGGGGAATGCCCATTAGACAGAATACAATCAGTCTAGCTGGCTCCTTGTGAGGAAAAGCCATTAGAAAGAACAAAAGGTCTCAGAAGATGTTTATCACCCACAGACAAGTCTTCCTGGGGATGCTACAAACAACCTCTGACTCATGGCTGCTTTTGACACTGCAGGGTCATGTGATCAGGTTATCTGGTACTGGATTCCATGATAGTGCTAAAGGAGTTGGCAGATGTGATTGCAGAGCCATTGGCCATTATCTTTGAAAACTCCTGGCGGTCCCGGACGACTGGAAAAAGGCTAATGTAGTGCCCACCTTTAAAAAAGGGAAGAAGGAGGATCCCGGGAACTACAGGCCAGTCAACCTCACCTCAGTCCCTGGAAAAATCATGGAGCAGGTCCTCAAGGTATCAATTCTGAAGCACTTAGAGGAGAGAAGAGTGATTGGGAGCAGTCAGCATGGATTCACCAAGGGCAAGTCATGCCTGACTAATCTAATTGCCTTCTATGATGAGATAACTGGCTCTGTGGATGAGGGGAAAGCAGTGGACATGTTGTTCCTTGACTTTAGCAAAGCTTTTGACACGGTCTCCCACAGTATGCTTGCCAGCAAGTTAAAGAAGTATGGGCTGCATGAATGGACAATAAGGTGGATAGAAAGCTGGCTAGATTGTCGGGCTCAACGGGTAGTGATCAATGGCTCCATGTCTAGTTGGCAGCCGGTGTCAAGTGGAGTGCCCCAGGGGTCGGTCCTGGGGCCGGTTTTGTTCAATATCTTCATAAATGATCTGGAGGATGGTGTGGATTGCACTCTCAGCAAATTTGCAGATGACACTAAACTGGGAGGAGTGGTAGATACGCTGGAGGGTAGGGATAGGATACAGAGGGCCCTAGACAAATTAGAGGATTGGGCCAAAAGAAATCTGATGAGGTTCAACAAGGACAAGTGCAGGGCAACTGCACTTAGGACGGAAGAATCCCATGCACTGCTACAGACTAGGGACCAAATGGCTAGGCAGCAGTTCTGCAGAAAAGGACCTAGGGATTACAGTGGACGAGAAGCTGGATATGAGTCAACAGTGTGCCCTTGTTGCCAAGAAGGCCAATGGCATTTTGGGATGTATCAGTAGGGGCATTGCCAGCAGATCGAGGGACGTGATCGTTCCCCTCTGTTCGACATTGGTGAGGCCTCATCTGGAGTACTGTGTCCAGTTTTGGGCCCCACACTACAAGAAGGATGTGGAAAAATTGGAAAGAGTCCAGCAGAGGGCAACAAAAATGATTAGGGGACTGGAACACATGACTTATGAGGCGAGGCTGAGGGAACTGGGATTGTTTAGTCTGCGGAAGAGAAGAACGAGGGGGGATTTGATAGCTGCTTTCAACTACCTGAAAGGGGGTTCCAAAGAGGATGGATCTAGACTGTTCTCAGTGGTAGCTGATGACAGAACAAGGAGTAATGGTCTCAAGTTGCAGTGGGGGAGGTTTAGGTTGGATATTAGGAACATCTTTTTCACTCGGAGGGTGGTGAAACACTGGAATGCGTTACCTAGGGAGGTGGTGGAATCTCCTTCCTTAGATATTTTTAAGGTCAGGCTTGACAAAGCCCTGGCTGGGATGATTTAGTTGGGGATTGGTCCTGCTTTGAGCAGGGGGTTGGACTAGATGACCTCCTGAGGTCCCTTCCAACCCTGATAGTCTATGATTCTTCCACGGGGGTGGGGGAAACCACACTGGAAACCAAAGGATCCCTGTCATATGTAAAACCTATTTAAGGCAGGGGAGTGATATACTCAGGATGGTTCTTCACTGAATCCCCGCCCAGGATGAATGCTGGTAAGATCTAAGAAAAAAAGACTGGCGTGGGGAGGAGAAGGACTGAGCCCAGGCTGGAAAAGTGTCTGGCCTGTGAAAGAAATACCTCGAGTTTTAAGCTGCAAGCAAGAGCAGCTTGCCTTCAAGAATTTCTGCAATCTGCCTAAAACAACATTTAGGGTGAGAAATTAAAACAACGCGGAGTCCGGTGGCATCTTAAAGGCTAACAGATTTATTTGGACATAAGCTTTTGTGGGTAAAAACCCACTTCTTCAGATGCATGGAGTGGGTTTTTACCCACAAAAGCTTATGCCCAAATAAGTCTGTTAATCTTTAAGGTTCCACCGGACTCCGCGTTGTTTTTGAGGATACAGACTAACACGGCTACCCCCGATACTTGGTGAGAAATTACTACTTGTAACCAGTTTATTTAATATCTTAAGCTTAGTTTGCATGTTTGTTTTATTTGCTTGGTAATCTGCTTTGATCTGTTTCCTATCCCTTATAATCACTTAAAATCTATCTTTTGTAGTTAATAAACTTGGTTTTGTTTTCTCTGAAACCAGTTTGTTGAATTCATAACTGGAGGGAAAAAGCTGTGCATATCTTCCTCCACATTGAAGGAGGGGGTGAATTTCAATGACCTTATGTAACCCACACACCTCCTGGGTGTGGTATTCTATAGTGGCACTGAGACTACTTAGAGAGCAATTACAGCCTTAATTTCAGCCTTAGCTAACAGTCAGTTTAGTTCATGCGGTAGAGGCTCATGAACTAAGGTCCAGAGGTCCCAGGTTTGATCCCACCCACTGGGGTCTGTCAGCATTACACTTACGTTGCATAGTTCTCTGTGCAGCATAAGACAATACAACTTTGGGTTTACACTCCAGAGGGGGCGTACCCTTGAGTGCTGGGCAATTCCCTAGCTGAGCTGATCTCAGTGTCTGTGTTTTTCTGAAGCTAGGTGTTTCCCTATCTGTGTGTGTGCTGGAGGAGGCTTGAAGGCCTGGCTCAGCAGGACAGTAAGGGAGCCCATGCTAGTGGGTTGGGTGAGCTCAGTGGTACCCAGTACATCAGGTGGCACCCCAGACGGGGCGGGCCGGCAGGGAGGGGGAACCCGTCACACTGACATTTTCAAGTAAATAATAGGTTGTTACACAAAGGAGGGTGAAAAAACTTATTCTCCTTAACCTTGGATAGGACAAGAAGCAATGGGCTTAAATTGCAGCAAGGTTGGACATTAGGAAAAACTTCCTAACTGTCAGGGTAGTTAAGCACTGGAACAAATTGCCTAGGGAAGTTGTGGAATCTCCGTCATTGGAGGTTTTAAAGAGCAGGTTAGACAAACAGCTGTCAGGAATGGTCTAGTTATTAGTCCTGCTGCGAGTGCAGGGGCCTAGACTAGATGATCTACTGAGGTCCCTTCCAGTTCTACACTTCTGTGATTCTTCTATGATTTTGGGTTTCTGTGATAACGCTGTAACATCCTATGTTTTATTACAGTTCCCTGTGCTGTGCCAGGGTTGGTCCCAACTGAGCAAATCAGCCTGGGTATTCAGGGCAAACAGGGCACTGAATTCCCACCCATTCCTTGATTTAGGGGGAGGAGGAACTCACAGCACATGGGCAGTGCAGGGATACAGGATGTGGCACTCACCTGGGCACTGGGAGCTACCCTCCAGCAGCACAGACAGGTACGAGGTCGGGGATCCCAGGATGCAGATGGTCACATCCCCCGAGCTGAACCCTAAGAGACACAGGGGAGGAATTAACCACTTATTCCCGCCAACGGCACTGTGCTGCCCTCTAGGCCTTGGTGCTAAGGGATGCCATGTGGCTGCCCTCCATACCCAGCCATGCTCCATCTCCTAGCCTCGTGCTAAGGGCAGTGGTGCTGGAACTAGGCGTGCTGGGGGTGCCCCAGCCCCTCATATACAGGATTTACAAAACCATGGGTTAAGGGGTGCCATGTGGCTGTCCTTCATACCCCAGCCATGCCCCATCTCCCAGTCTATGCTAGGGGGTGCTGTGCTGCTGCCCTCCTTACCCTGGCCATGCCCCACTTCTCAGCCCAGCACTAGAGGGCGCTGTGCCCCCAGATCCCCCTGGGTTGATGCCACAAGAGGGATTTCTGTAAGGCAGTGCTGTAGCCCCAGCATGCGAGTGGTGGCACCCTGGGTGGGCTGGCATGCACCTGTTCTGGGCTCCTTGGTGCGGTCGACTGTCTCTGGCAGCCCCTCCTGCTGCAAGGTGCATTGCAGCAGGTTGTAGTAGTAAGTAGTCCAGGCATGTGCCTGGGTGTCCTCTGGAGAGGACTTGCAGTCCAGAGACACGTCCTGATGCCAGGAAGGACACGGGGGACTGAGTGATGGCAGGGGCTCTTGCTCAGCCCAGTCCAGCTCCTTCAGGATCAGGGGCTGATCCACATTGATTTGATCCAGAGACAGCTGCAACAGAGATGGGGATGGGAGTGTGAATCCTGATGCTAGTGCCCTGGGGCACAGATCCCCCTGGGGGCGGGGCTGGGAGTGTGAATGCTGGTGCCCCAGGGCATGGATCCTGTGTAGGGGCAGCATGGCTCTGGCTGGGGGGTAAAGCCCCACAGGGTGGGCGAGGCAGGTGCCAGTTGCCCAGGGGCAGCAGAGGCCTGGGGCGGGGGCTGGTTTTCAAACAAAGCATCTCTTTTTCCTCCCCAAAGGGGGCGGGTCACGTGGGGCCGGAGCTAAGCAGCTTGAGAAGCAAGGCTGTAAACAGATCAATCTGCCTGGGTCAGTGAGCTCAGGGAGGGAGGCAGGAGTAGAAGTAGGGAGAAGGGGAGAGATTTCTTCCTCCTGCTGGGACGCCCGACCCCCTCCTCCACCACACACCCAGTGCAAGACCTCGCCAGAGCTGTTGTGCAACAGTGCCCTGGCACGGCACAGCTAGGGCTCCAGTGCTGCAAACTTCCCCACAGCAGTACCCTGACCGACCCTGGTGCTGTGATCTTCCCCACAACAGTACCTGGCAGTGCCCAACCAGACCCTGGTGCTGCAAACTTCCCCACAGCAGTGCCCAGCCAGCAGTATGGCTAGAAGACTCCCACAGTTATGGTAATTTGCAGGAGTCTCCCAGTGTCTGAGGGAATCGGACACCATTTTCCCCCTTATTAGCACCAGTACAGCAGGGCTTGCTTCAGACCTCCCTCCTTCCCAGCTGGACACCCCCCCACACCCCCACTTCCCTGCCTCCCTGAGTCCAAATCCCTCTGCTAAGTTCCTGGGGCCGAGGACACTGGCTCCCACTTGGGACTAGAGGGCCCGGAAGTGGTTCCTGGGGACTTGAGGCAGGGCAGGGGGCTGGATGGGGAACAGCAGCGGGACAAACTCACCATCCTGCCAGCAAAGAAGCTGCAAGAGAAAAAAAAAAGAAGAGAGAGAAAGAGAGAGGCACCAGTTGCAGGTTTCCGTGGGCAATGGGGAGCAGCCTGTCACCCCATCTTCCATCCACAGGGGGCGCCAGTTGCATGCTCTGCTCACCCCTCCTCCAGCATTAACTGCACCCACACAGCCGGTGCAGTTCCAGCGTCAGGCTCCTGCGCCCACCGCTGAATACCTGAATAGCACTGCTGGGATAGCAGGGGCTGTCAGTCAAGGTTGAGGGGCACCAAAAGAGCTCTGTGTGTGGGGAGCCCAGGGCTGGGATAGCAGGGGGGCTGTGGTTGGGACTGAGGTGAGATGGGGAACCCAGGGCTGGGATAGCAGGGGCTGCGGGTCAGGATTAAGGGACATTAGCAGAGCGGTGAGCTTTGTGACCCCCGGGGCGTTTTAGCTGAGCTGGCCCTGCTCTGAGGGTCAGTGATGGGGGCAGTTTGGCCAGGGGGTCCCCTCCTGTCTGGGCTCATGTCCCAGGCAGTCTCTGAGTCCTGCCCCAGATGCTCATTGTGCAGTTCCTCCTAGCCGCAGAGCTGAGACATTCCCAGCTCCAAGGACAGAGGCTGGTTAAGGTAATCCCCCAAACCTCTAGTGCTGGCTCAGCAGGGACTACAGGGCCCCGCCCCTAGCCCCACTAGCTCAGAGCTCCCTGCTTCTGGGATGCTGCTGAGAACCAGTATCCCCAGGCTGCAGGATCCCAAGAACCCAGGAGTCCGACAAAGAGGACACCCAGCTGACAAGGCAGGATCGTTCCTCATGGGAGTAGGGCTAGGCTGGGGCTTCGAACTCTTCCCTTGGGAAAGGGCGGAGGAGCCGTGAGAACAAGAGGTTGAATTTATAGCACGTCCCTCACTTTCCTGAGCCAGCAACAGAACCCAGGGGTCCCAAGCCTTGGCCATCAGCCCATCCCTCCTCTTTATCTGTTCTCCAGCAGCTGCCATTCCCTTGCCCTCCCCAGCAAAGCTATTCCAGGGCAAACTTCTCCCCCTCACTCCCTCCTGTCCCTGGTGGTGAGAGTCAGCTGAGCTGTCATGTGTAGCTCCTGGGCCAACCGACTGGTCACTGTGGAGCTCTTCTCAGACTGTCCCTGCCCTTCACGCGCCAGGCACCACCCCCAGGGCTCTGGACTGGAGCTGGTACACTTGGAGTGCATTGCTTCAGAGAGCGGGGCGGGGGATGCAGTAGTGGGGTGCTCTCCCTTTGCAGGCAGTGCCCGCTCCCAATGCCCCAGTGGAGCACTAGGGGGCACTGTGCCATGAGATGCTTCCTTTTGATCATATACCACAGCCCTGTCCCCTGGGGGGGTCAAAAGTCCCATTTGGACACAAGTTGAGGTGTCCTGGGCAATTCCATTCTGCCTCCACGATCCCCCCACAATCCATCCCAGATGGTCTCTCTCCACTGCCTCTTCTGCACAGGTGTGCAGTGGCACTTTGGGGTATTAATCAGCACCAGGCCCCACCCCAGAGGCAGCTGCACCTCAGCACACGTAAGGCATTCCCTCTATACACAGCTGCCAGGCTCCATCCTAGAGATGGCTGCATTACAGCATCTAGTGAGGGACCCCTGCCATGCTCATAACACACCTCAGAGGGTTTAAGGGGGTGAAGCCACGGCCACAGGGGCACAGGCATACCCAAGGTGACCCTTCCACCCCCAATGAGATTAACAGGGACATGCAGCTCTGCCAGGGGAGGGTGGGAATCTCATTACTGGACACCCCCTCCCTTCCTCCATCTGTCTCATTCCCTTGCTCCCTGCCCGAGAAAACAATCACCGGGGAAAGGGATGAAAAATGGATTATGTGAAATTAAATGAGGGGCAGAAACAGCCCCTGCCCAGGAAGGGGCTGAGGGGACACTGGGAGCAGAGCAGGACAGGGAGGAGTAGGGCAGAGTCAGCCCCTCCCCGGTGGGACTGGACAGGAGGGGCTCGGGGGGGGGGCGTGGGAGGCAGGATATTACCCCTCTCCTCTATGGGGTCCATGGAGCCAGTCAGTGCAGCAAGGACAAGATGTGGATGGACGGATTCCTGGCCAGATGGACACGGCATCCCTAGCCAGGCCCTGCGCTCCCCATCCTTACTCCCTGGGGCCTGTGAGAGGCCAGGGCTGTGAGGGGAGCTTTAGGGAAAGCACCCCGGGAGCTGGGATTGCTCTGAGGATATGAGAACCCCTAAGCTGGAATAGCACGCCCCAGCCCCAACCCCCGCCTGGTTTAGCAACATCGGAGTAAGAGGCAGGGCCTGGAATTGGGAGGATCCCTCCAGCACACAGCTATCTCTATGCACTCCCAGTCTGGCTCTATGTGCAGGCAGGACGGGCACCGCACAGGGGCTGCATAGCTTCCGGAGAATCCCCATCAGTTGGTCAATCTCTGCCTCTCTGCCTATGCAGACCCTCAGCCCTACCATGTGCCTTTCCCTCACTTCCAATCACTCCCACGCCAAGTGCCACAGCACCAGGAGGGTCCTGCCAGCCAAGCGAGAGCAGGCCCCACCGATAAGTGGGCCACGGGGGGGGGGCAGTGACACCCCATCCTGGGCAGGTTGTGTCCTCCCCCGCTGGACAGAGGCCCGACCCGGTGACTCTTGGACAGCCCCTGGCACAGCTTGCCATGCCCATGAAGCCACCTGGGACTCTGCCCAACGGCAGCGGGGATGTTAAAGTGCCTCTCACTCTGGTATCAGAGTCCTGGGCAGCCTTGATTTGTGTGGAGCCCCATGAGCCAGTGATGGTGTGGTGCCAATCAACATCAGTCCACCAGAGCCAGTGGAGCCAGATCCCCAGCCGGCATCAAAATCAGCATCACTCCACTTGAGTCTGTGCCCACTTGCAGCAGCTGACGCTCTGGCCCCACATGTTACAAAAAAATAAACCCCGCTTCCGTGTCACCAACGCCACCTGGAATCACTCCTGGGGCGCAAGTGTGCAGGCTCCCCTCTCCCTCCCCTCCAATCTGTGGTCACCCAGCGCTGGGACAATGACACTTTCCCCTTTGTCTAGAGTCCCTTTCCCTCCCTGCTTCCCTGTGCTGCAGTGTTTGGGTTGCAAGGCAGTAGGAGGGCAGGGGATTACAAATTCATCTCACATAACTGGTGGAACTGGAGCTTAATTATAGGAAACAAGACACATTATTCTGGCGGGAAGGATGGGTTTGTGCTGAAGGGGTAAGGACGCAGGACACCTGGGTTTAAAGCCCAGCACTGTTACTGCCTCCCTTTTATGACCTTAAGCAAGCCGTGCCTTGGTTTCCCCATCCGCAACACAGAGATAATGATCCTTTATTTCAATTGTAAGCACGTCAAGGCAGGGAGGGGCTGTCTCTCATTTTGTGTCTGTGCAGTGCCCGGCATGATGACGGAGCCCCAACCTCGGTGACTTTACATCCATGTGCAGCACCTGATGCGACAGGGCCCCAATCTCAGTTGAAGCGCATATGTGCTACCATCATACAAATAATACATTGACCTAGAAAAGCATTTTGTTTGTTCTGTAAAGAAAATTTGCATTGGACATCAAATTGTAGCCCACGCCTGACTTTAAAGAGCATCCAATTTAGAACTGGAGTTTGAGATGTTCGAAGTCAAGCCAGGAATAAGCCGCGTAAATTCTGAGAGCTTCCCTGGGAGCTGGATGGCTAAAGACATTAGTCAGCTTTGGAAACCACAAGCTTGACTTCAAAACAAGCTCTTTTTTTTATCATCACAAACCCTGATGCCAAGGGCTAGGAAGAAATGGCTGTGATTCTATCACCCTTTAGGGTTATAAAGATTTCCCAAATTCCAATAGAGGGGATAATACTTAGACATTATAATTTAAGGCAGTGTTTCTCAGGGACAGGAGCGCACTCTATGGGGGAGCACAGAGAGCTAACCAGGAGCCCGGGGTGTGGGTGGGGCAGGGGGAGGGTTATGACAGACCTCAATTGTTCCCCAGTGTTCCAAAATTCATTTAATAGAGAAGTCTCCAGCTGCTGTGGGTGGGAAGAAAGCCTAAATGTGGCCCAAGGAGAAATGACACCTCAGCAACTGCCTGAGTTTGCACAGAGCCTGAGATAGTAGCTCTGAGAGCTGCGAACTGCCCCCAGTGTGACTGATACAGCAGTGTTTACCTGAGTCCGCACAGAGCCTGAGACAATAGCCCTAAACTGTGTGACCCACCCCTGTGACTGATGTAGCAGTGTTTGCCTGAGTCCGCAGACAGTAACTCCGAGAGGCATGTCATGTCCCACTCATTTCATGAGCTGCTAACTCAGAGGACACTTTCAATGTTGATCCTTTTGTGGCAGCTTCCTGGACCCGGGGTGCTGCTTGCAGCATCTGGGTAACATTGATTTAAGGCAAGGAGAGTAATGACAAAATGCTGCATGGCTACACTGACTTGTTTTCCACCCAAGGCCTGTCTGCCTGCATCTTCCAGCCCCATTCTGGGCTCTCCCAGCGAATCCCTCATTAATACACTCCCTGGTCAGTCGGGGTCACTCTTCATGCCAGGGCTGCCCCTGTGGATCAGAGATGCTTTTACATTTAGCGGCCCAGTGGAGATGGGGGTGACTCAGCAATCCCAGAGCCAAGGCACAGGCGTGTGGAGCTGAGAGGTGCGGGGTGATGGTTTGCACGCCCATCCCACAACTGCAAGCTCCTCTTCATGGGTAGAGCTCTGAGGCAGAGGAAGGGATCTGCCAGTCCAGAGCTCATGACAGAATGAGGGACAGGACTTTGTTCCTAGCCTCTGTCCTACCCCAACATCTTCAGACAGATGCAATCTGCACCTATGTGCAGCTCTAGTGCTGTTATTAGAGAGAGCCACCGAAAGACAAGCAAGGAACACAGGGACTGGATGCGACAAATCCCTATGGGCACCCGCCGATCCCCACCTAGGGCCCATGCAAGGATGTTTCGCCTCCTAGGCGCCCCCCCTGCGACAGTTCCCCACCGCCCTCTCTCTCTCTCCCTCCCCTCGCCGGGGAGCCGCGTGCGGCAACTCCCCTCCCCAGCTCACCTCTGCTCCGCCTCCTCCCGGAGCAGGCCCCCCCTTCTCCCGCCTCCCAGGCTTGGGGCGCCAATCAGCTGTTTGGCGCTGAAGCCTGGGCCGGAGAGACGCAGAGCGGGGTGGTGCTCAGGGGAGGAGGCGAATCAGAGGCGGGGGAGGGAGCGGTTCCCCTGGGCGCCACCCCACCCCGGTTACTTGCTGCAGGCGGCCCTCCCCGCGGCCCCCTGCCCCCAGCTCAGCTCCGCTCCACCGCCTCCCCAGAGCGCGCTTTTGGCCGCCCCCAACCACTTGGTGCCCTAGGCGACCGCGTAGTGGTTGCACCAGCCCTGTCCCCACCTGGTGTCAATCAGCAAGGCGCCATTGAAATCCGTGCTGATCTCTGTGTCAACCATGCACCTGTCTCAGGGGAGGTGCACAGAGAGAACAGCACCCCCCAGAAACGGCCCGACCTGTCAGAATGTCCGCTCCGCTGGGGCCCGGCCCCAGGGACCCCCGCGCAGCTGCGCGCCACATTCTCCACAGGGGTCAGTGTGGCGATGTTGCGGGAGGGGCATCCCCTGGGGATGCAGCGGGGGACCTGGGAAGCTGCCAGGCCGCAAGTCCCCGGGCTCACTGCTCCCGCCGGCCCCGGCCTAGCCCTGCACCTGCTCCCGACGGGGCCAGCGCCGGCATGGCTCAGGAGCCCCGACCGCCGCCACGGGCTGGCGCTCCCTGACACTGCGCCTGCCCTGCGCCCCTCCAGCCGGCCCGTCTCGCCCCGCGTGCAACAGGCTGGGCTGGGGAGGCGACCCAGGCAGCCCCGTGCCGGGATGCTGCCTGGGACCGCAGCCCCTAGCCCCCCGCAGCCTCGGCTTCCCCGCAGCCCCCAGCCCAGTTCCCCGTTGCCACCAGCCCCCTCAGCTCCCCTCATCCCCCAGCCCAGCAGCCGGGGCACCACGATCCACAGACAAAGCGGCTCCGACCGGTGCCTCTCTCCGGGTGCGGTGCTCGGACACCCCGGGCTCGGGCCGGAGGCTCTGACCTACCCCCGGGCAGCAGCGGCTCCCGATCGGTGGCGTCTGGCTGGCGGCAGGAAAGAGGCGGCTGTGAACGTCCAGGGATTAAGGCAGACGGGCTTTATATAGAAACCCAGCTGGGGCATGCCCAGTGCGGAGCACCCGGCTGGGGAGCGGGAGCGAGTGTGCCGGGGGGCCGCGCCGGCTATTGCCACGGAGCGCGGGCTGTGAGTGCGGGGCTGCAGCGTGTGTCCCAAGGAAGGAATGCGCGAGGGGGCAGAGTGAGTCCCAGGGAATGCGTGTGCAAGAGGGGCACAAGGCCAGCCCGGACCTGCCCACGCCCCACCCCCATCATGCCCCCTTCCCTGCCACCGCATCCTCCATAAACACAGAGCAGTCACTGCCCAAAAGCTTTACCACCGCAGGGCAAGGTGTCGAGCAGTGCCCTGCACCCCTCCAGAACATCAAATCCACCTCTGCTGAAACCATTGCAGGACTCAGGAACATCCAGTCCTGCTACCTTAACTCGGGGGCAGCGTTAGATGCTTGCAACTCATGCAATCGTAGGGGGCCCTGAGGCAGCGAGGGGCCCCCTGGAGACCAAGATGCTGCCTGCTGGGCATCAGTTGCTCCGTCCTGCTCAGTGCCATACAGGGCTCAAAATGTCACCCTCTGCACAGCATGACTTCACATGCACTGTGTGTGCAAGGTCACTGATAGGGCCCCCCCCCCAGTTCAGCTTTGGAGGAGTCCCACGGGACAAACACCACCCCTGCCTTAACTCTGCCCTCTGTGAGTGACCCCCTAACCCACCCCTCACAGACATGGCATACTCTGCCCTTCAGCTGAGACTGCCTGCTGCCTGGATAGGCCACAGCAGAGAGCAGGAGAAACTGACAGACCATGTTCTCACTAAGGAAAGAATCCCAGTTAGGCTGGGTTTAATGAGCACCAACTGGCTACCCCAGCTATCCCCAGCCACTGCACTGGCCACCCCAGAGCTGCCAGGTGGTCCCACTCCTTGACCTAAGGATTCCCTCTGGACCATCACCTCCTCTGAGCCCTGGCATCTCTACTTCAGAGCCCGCAGCAAGAAGAGACCATTGTGCTCCTTTCCTCGCACAGCCCCCAGAGCTCAGCCCAGAAATGAGTGGTGGGGCACATGAGCCCATGGGTGCCCACGCCCTTCTCGCGTATTCAGCTGCTGCTCCTAACACAGTGCAGGGCAGCTGTGGTGCATGCAGACCAATGAAAGAATACAGTTCTGTGGGACACAGCACACCACCCAGACTGGCACATCTCCTCAGACAGTCCTCCTGGCCACACCACACTGACAGTCTATGTCCCCACTACCTCCTGCCACAGCACTGAGGGGCAGAGGTAAGGTTGTGGGGCAGAGCTGGGGTTTACCTTACCTCTGAATTTCCTGCTGTCAGAGGAATAAATGTAGGTGCAGTAGATGTTCTGCAAGGATAAGAGATGCTCCTTCCATTCCTGCTCTTATCCATCCATCCATCCATGGAGAGGAGAGCACACTCATAAAACGTGCAGCTGACACCAGGCTGGGAGGGGCTGCAAGTATTTTGGAGGGCAGGATTAGAATTCAAAACAACCTGGACAAATCGGAGAATCAACAAGCTGAAACTCAAGAAACACAAGTACATCACTTAGGAAGGAAAAATCAGATGTACAGCTACAAAATGGGGAATAACTGGCTAGTCGGTGGTGCTGCTGAAAAGGGTCTGGGGGTAACAGTGGATCACAGCTTGAATATGAATCAAGAGTGTGATGCAGTGCAAAAAAGGCTAATATTCTGTGGCATATTAAGAGGAAGGTTGTATGTAGGAGACAGGAGGTAACTGTCCCCTCTATTCTGCTGTAGGACACTGTTGAGGCCTCCGCTGGAGTGCTGTATCCAGTTCTGGGTGCCACACTTTGGAAAAGATGTGGACAAATTGGAGAGATGCCAAGGGAGAGCAACAAAAATGATAAAAGGTTTAGAAAACCTGACCTATCAGGAAAGGTTAAAAAAACTGGGCATGTATAGTGTTGAGGAAAGAAGACTGAAGGGGGATCTGACAACAGTCTTCAAATCTGTTAAGGGCTGTTCTAAAGAGGATGGGGATCAATCGTTCTCCATGTCCACTGAAGGTAGGAAAAGAACTAATGGGCTTAATCTGTAGCAGGGGAGATTTAAGTTAGATATTAGGAAAAACTTTCGAACTATAAAGGTAGTTCAACTCTGGAACAGGTCACCAAAGGAGGCTGTGGAATCCTCATCACTGGAGGTTTTCAAGAACAGGTGGGACAAACCCCTGCCAGGGATGGTCTAGGTTTACTTGGTCCTGCCCCAACGCAGGGGGCTGCACTAGACGAATTCTTGAGGTCCCTTCCAGCCCTACATTTCTGATTCAATTATCTCTAAAGCAGTTTGTTCCATCTGCCCCTCTGTTTCTGCTTCCATCCACCCCTTAAGCAGGTCCTTGATTCCATCCCTCCTGTCCCCACTCTTTCTGCTTCCATGTATCCATCCCTGTACACGCACATCTGTCCAGCAGGGTGCCCATCACCCTGGTATTAGGCAGGAGGAAAGTTTGGAAAGTAGTTTGGAAAGTTGGCAGGTGAGATGCTTTGCTCAGGTTTCTGCTTTTAAGTGGCCTTCATGCTCTCTGACCAGCAGGTGGTTTAGCTGAGTGACTGTGACGTTATTGACATGAACTGTGACCGTATAGATCATTGTTGCAACCAAGGTCCTATAGTTGCACCAAATCTTGTACAAAGGAGGTCAAGAAGGTGTCTATGAAAAGGTTGTAATTTGTGGGTTATGATTAGGCTGTCTGTATGTGTGCATCATTTTTGTATTTGAAGTTATGAATATTTGGCTATGTACTTGTATCTCAATGTGTTTGATTCCAAGGGCTTGGCTTCACTTGCAAGTTAGAGTACATTAAGTCAGCCCTGGGACACTCCTGAGGTGTCCACACTGGTAAGGCACATAGAGTGCCCAGACTCCGCAGCTTGAGCACCCCTGGTACTCCACCTGCACAAGAAGCATAACGCTTGCTGCACCCCAGCTGGAGCGCCACAGCGCCAATGTGGACACCCTGGTCTATTAATGCTCTCTGATCGGCATCCAGAAGTGTCCCACAATGCCTGTTCTAGCCACCCTGGTATCACTTTGAACTCTACTGCCCTGCCCCCACGTGACCAACCGTCAGACCTGCTCTTTAAATTCTCTGGGAATTTTGAAAATCCCCTTCCTGTTTCCTCAGCAAGGCATGGAGTGCTCTCAGCGAATATTTCAAGGTGGCCATACCTCCACATGCCAGGCAATCCCCAGTATGGAGCAATGGCGAGGTGCTGGACCTCATCAGTGTTTAGGGGGAGGAAGCTGTCCAACCCCAGCTGCGCTCCAGTTGTAGGAGCAGATATCAGATGGGCAGATATCAAGGGCCATGATGGAAAGGGGCCATGACCAAGACACACAGCAGTGCAGGGTTAAAGTGAAGGAGCTGCGGAATGCCTACCAAAAAGCACGGGAGGCAAACCACTGTTCCAGTGCTGCCCCCATGATCTGCCATTTCTATAAAGAGCTGGACGCAATACTTGGGGGCGACCCCACCTCTACTCTGAAGGCTGTAGCAGCACAGAGTTCAACAAGGCAGGAGGAGGAAAGTGGGAGCAAGGGTGCTGACGTGGAGGGGAACTGCCTGGCATCCCTAGATGCATGCAGCCAGGAGCTGTTTTCAAGCCATGAGGAAGATAGCCAGTTGCAGTGGCGGTGCTTGGGGAAGAACAAACAGCGGAGGAGGTGCCTGGTAAGTGGCTTTTATTTTGGGAAAGAAGTTATTTGGTGTGGGCTCTTGAGGCGAGAAGGGTTAGGGCTGCATGCATGCCTAGATGCGGAATAGGGCATTGATGTGATCTCTCACATCGCGGTAATTGTCCTCAGTGATCTCTTCAAAGGTCTCATACAGAAGCTGGTTCCTTGGCAAGCTACTGTGCTCCTTGTCCCAGTAAGGCTAACGTGTCCGCGCCACTGTGTCGTGAGGGGCGGAGGGACCATTGCTGCACATAGGCAAGCTACATAAGGGCCAGGGCAGAAGCCACATTGTAGTAGAAGACCCTCTCTTGCTTCCCAGGTCACCCTCAGGAGCGAGATATCTTCCAGGATGAACTCATCCTGTGGAAAATGTGGGGACAGTGTTCAGGCACAGAACCCCAGAGGACAGTACATCCATGAACAATCAGTCCCCCTTGACCCTGTGTCACAGAGTGTGGGGGAGTCAGGGCCCTGCACCCTCCTCTTCCTGCGATTCACTTTGACTCTCAGCCAGCCAGTAAAACGGAAGGTTTATTGAGCGACAGGAACACAGTCCCAAACAGAGCTTGTCGGTTCAACCAGGACCCCTCAGACAGGTCCTTCTGGAGGGCAGGGAGCTTAGACCCCAGCCTTGGGGTTCCCTCTGTTTCCCCAGTCCACTCCCAACTCAAAACCCCCTCCAGCCGACTCACCCAGCCTCCCCGTGGCTCCTCCTCCAGACTTTGTCCAGCTTCCCAGGCAAAAGGTGACACCTCGCCCCAACCTCCCGCCCCCCCAGCTCAGGTTACATGCTCAGGTATCGTCCCTCCAGTGAAGCCACACCCTGCTATCCCATCCCCAATGCAGACAGTCCCAGTTAAACTCCCCTGTGACATTCCCAGGTCAATCCGCCACACTCCCTGCTCCGTCACACCCTGTGCTTACTCACCATTTTGGGACTCCTTTATGTGCTTTATGTGCACTCACTTTGGGACTGGCAAATTCTGCTATTGTGTACACTGTACTTGTCTTTAAGGACAGGTGAATCATTGCTCTGTCTGGTGTGAACAACGCTACCTCTGTTAAGTGTTGCATTTTGGCTTTACAGATGCAACTGTGAGATCCCAGCCATCCTTGTTATCAACGGCCGAAAGACTCCAAAGAATCAGGAAGCATCCACGAAGAACCAAAGAGGACCTGCTGTATGAAGTCATGCAGCAGTCCCTTAATGAAAATCAAAAAGTGCAGGAGTGGCGGGAGACTGAAAGGAGTCTCCACCAGCAGAATGTAGATAGCTGGCACCAAAGCACAGAGTGGCTGCTAAGTACCGTGGAGCACCAAGCAAACTTGATACAGGCGCTTGTAGCAATGCAGACAGAGCACATTCACGCCCCCCTTCCCCCCGGAGCCCCTGTCCCAAAACTCTTTCCCTTGTACCCCCATTTCACCGCCA